GGAAACATGTTTGTTTGGGTGGGTTGCTAAGCAACACCACACAAGCCAGAGAGCCCTTTTGGATTTCCTTTGGAAGGTGGAATCTGCAGGACCAATGGGTCCTTCTGCTTGTGTCTGCTTCATCTGTTCACATGGGAAAATAAAAGCAAAACAGGAAACAAACAGGCAAGTCTAATAATACAGAAGCCAGAAGTGTGGCGAATACTAAGTATTAAATCAGACTGGACTGTTTTTAAGCTGCCTTTTGAAGGGCTTGTCTGAGTATCCACCATGGCACTGAGACAAAGAGGTGGGGTTTATGTAGCATGTTCCAGAAGAACTTACCACACAGATGAAATAAAACCAAATAGCATCCAGCTATGTTATCCATCCCACACAGGATTTCAGGCCTGTAGATTATCGAAACTTGCAATATGGCCATAGGATTATGGCAACCAGGTGAAGAAGAATATGAATTTTGCATCTCATTTATTTAATAAGAGAACACTTCTTATGAGAAATGGGTTTGTAAGATGAATATTAAAGGAAGGAATTCTGTGGGAAGGGAGAGAAATTTACAGCTTCAAGACCTACTTGAGGAAAAGCGAGGCACTCCCAAGGCGGAAAACATGCCAAGGTAAAAGCACAAGAGAGAACATTAGGAAGCCAGAAAGAATGACTAGGTATTTGAACAGGAAATATACTGCGTGGCTGGTGATGGGTTTATGAAAACTAAGATTGAAACTGGTAGTGAAATTCTTGGAATGTAAGATTTAGGATGTGGTGCATTAAATACTATCCACATAATGTTACAAAAATATTTCTCTGAATTTTTTAAAAATCACATTACTTGTGAAGATTTGTAATTAAAATTTTGGGTAAGCACACATTTAATTCTGAATTATGTATGTGTGGACACATTTTTGGTCAGTCCAAATTCTTTTGGAGACAATGATATAGTCTTAAAAAGAATGTTTCAGATTTTGTTTTAAATCATTGACAAAGAAGGTATATTATTATTATTATTATTAAATAAAGGCTATACTCTTTAACATGCATCTCAGGCCTTCCATGATCTAGCCCTACCTTCTCCTCCCGTGCCAGCCTGAGTAGTTTCTCTCCTCAACCCCTTCTTGTGTTGAAAGACTTCATACTGACTTGATGCCATAGGGGCCAAGGGCAAGCCACCTCAAAAGGTGCACTTCAGCATACTGATTATTTTAAATAGAAGTTACTTAAGAAACAGTTGGTATAAGGATACTCAGAACCACCTCCATTCCCCTCCAGCAAGAAATCAATTTCCCATATGAAAGGTACCCTTCCTGTACTAAGAAGTACAAAGATATCCTTATCACCAGAGATAGGAACTTTAAAGCTGAGAAAGCTATAGAAAAAAACCCTGAGATCATAACCTGAGCTTAAGAGTCGGATGCTTAACTGACTGAGCCACCCAGGTGCCCCATGCTCTTCTATCTTAATTATGTTAAATATTTCCATCTGGGGCGCCTGGATGGCTCAGTCGTTAAGCATCTGCCTTTGGCTCAGGTCATGACCCCAGGGTCCTGGGATCGAGCCCCGCATCGGGCTCCGTGCTCCGTGGGAAGCCTGCTTCTCCCTCTCCCACTCCCCCTGCTTGTGTTCCCTCTCTCACTCTCTCTCTGTCAAATAAATAAATAAAATCTTTAAATAAATAAATAAATAAATAAATATTTCCATCTATTACAATGACTTATGTGGTTTTTGTTTAGTGTCACAACTGGATTATGAGCTTCTGCTTTTTTTTTTTTTTTTAATTTTTGGATTATGAGCTTAAGGTCAGACACTCCCCACCTAGCACAGAGGATTCTACAACAAATACTTCTTGAGCACCTGCTATGTGCTGGGCACAACACTATGAAAGAACACAATCAGTGCAACAGGCAAAAAGCCCAGCCCTTAAGGAGTCTTCATTCCCTGTGGAATTGTTGAGGGACTGCATGAGCCTAGTCAGGCGTCATAATCATACCGTTAGAGCTTTGGTTAAGACTGGGGTTTCCTAATTCTTCATGTAGAGCCCTTTTTAACCTCCACGTGCTACCATTTCTCCTCTGAGGTGCAAGGGCCTTGGAATAGCTTATGCACACAGGAAACTATTTTTTTTTTAAGATTTTATTTATTTATCTGAGAGAGAGAGAGAACACGAGCAGGAGGGTGGGGCAGAGGGAGAGGGAGAAGCAGACTCCCCGCCCAGTAACTCGGGGCTCGATCTTAGGACCCGGAGATCATGACCTGAGCTGAAGGCAGATGTTTGACTGACTGAGCCCCCCAAGCTTCCCCCACATTAAACCATTATTAAGTCACTGTTCAAAATGCTATTTTCAGTTTTGTAATATTTGTTTCCCAAGGATGTTTTGATTTTCCACAGCTCAAGGTTTAGAACACAGCAGATTACTCCTTAGTTTATCCATTTCTTTTTTCTTACTTTTTTTTTTGCTAGCAAGTCTATAGTCCAGAGATATAAGGAAGAGAATACTGAATGGAAAAACAATAATACCAAGGAATAATAGAATTAATTCAATTACTATTTATTTATCGGGTTCAAGTTCTGTGCTTTCACTATGCATAGTAAGTAACATTATTATTTTAGTAAAACATACAAGATAAAACAAAATACTCTTGGGACATAACTGCAGGGAGTTATCTCATTGGTGAGATAATATACCTTAAGTCTAAATAACAACAGATGGGAGAATATAATTTAGTATTGTAGGGAAGTGAAATTGTTCCTCTACCCTTCAAGGTCTTCCAGCTGAACTTAGAATTAAATTTACACGAGACAGATTAAAAAGGGGGAAAAAACCCCAAAGTTTTCTTATGTGCACAGAGAGGCCTAATAATGAAATTGAGGCCTAAACAAATGACCAAGGCAGGCAGTTTTCATATTTTTTTAGACAATAAATTTGTGAGAAATTGACTGGCATAAAGAAAACAGATGTTTGAGAACTTTAATTAATAAGAATTCTAAGTGGAATTTGGGCTGAGGTAGTAGATAAGAAAAACACACCCTGTCTTTAAGAAGCTCAAAGTTAAGGGGTGCCTGGGTGGCTCAGTCGGTTAAGCGACTGCCTTCGGCTCAGGTCATGATCCTGGAGTCCCGGATCGAGTCCCGGATCGAGTCCCGCATCGGGCTCCCTGCTCGGCAGGGAGTCTGCTTCTCCCTCTGACCCTCCCCCTTCTCATGTGCTTGCTCTCTCTCATTCTCTCTCTCTTAAATAAATAAAAAAATCTTAAAAAAAAAAAAAAAAAAGAAGCTCAAAGTTAGGAAAAGGATACAGGTAAGTAACAAGGTAAACTGTAGAATTGATGATAGGTGGCCATGATTACCTGAATAAAATCAGGATATTATGGGCACATTGTGTCCCCCTCAAAAATCCATATGTTGAAGTCCTAATCTCCAACAACACAGAATGTGACTGTATTTGGAGACAGGGTTGTTGTTTTGTTTTGTTTTTTAAGGTAATTAAATTAAAGTGAGGTCACTAGAATAGGCCCTAATCCAATGTGACGGGTGTCCTGATGAGAAGAGTTTAGGACACAGACACCTACAAAGAGACCACCACGTGAAGACACTAGCGGAAAACCACCATCTACAAGCCAAGGAAGGAGACCTCGGGAGAAGCCAATCCTGCCAACATCTTGATCTGACTTTCAACCTCTAGAATTGTGAAAAAATAAACTTCTGTTGTTTAAGCCACGCAGTCTGTGGTACTTCATTATGGCAGCCCTAGCAAACAAATAAATACAAGGGCAGATGAAGAAAATGTACTAACCTAACCTAAGGAAATTAAATTTTATGTTTTAAGTTGTAGGAAGCCCCCAGAGGTATCTAAGCATCAATGTGACAGGAGCAGTTTGGGTTCTGAATACAATTTGGGAACGCGGGGACCCTGGAGTGGCGGATGGAGATGGAATTGACAGGTTAGTTGTTCCAGTGAGGAATAAAACAAAACATAGACCAAGGGCCCTGGGCGAAATCACTGACAACAGGGATGAGAAACGGAGGTCCTATCAGAGATTTGTGGGGCAGAAGTAACAAGATTTGGGGAGATGAGGTGTAGGAGGAGAAGAGCAGACAGATGAGGGTATCATGGAGAAGCATATCTTGACAAGTAAGGAGGACAGCCATGCCTCAAATTTCAACTGGGGGAACAGGAGGTGACGCAGGCTTAAAAGAGGAGGGGAATGGATATTTAATTTGGGATACGTTAAGTCTGAGACAATTGCAGATCCTCCAGTTGGATGAGCTCACCGTAGAGTGGGAATAAAGTTCTGGCCCCGGGGCTGACGTGGGATTGTGACTCGGAAGCCAGACCCTGAGCCGGCAGCGGGGGGCGGGAGGGGATGAGCTCGAGCTCAGAGCACCAGCGATCTGAATGTTCCAGGACGGAATCTTTGGGGTCCCCACAATGTGTGGAGAGAGGAGCCGACCAGAGGTTGAAGAAACCATCCAAAAAGCAGCAGAAGGGGGAACAAGGGGGCCGCCAAAGGCCAAGGAAGTCAGCATTAGTAGTTTGCTGGTAGTTTTCAAACGAAGTTAAGATTTCTTCGCCCCTGCTGCAGAGCAGCGCAGGCTGGATTTCGCTAGTACACACCATCCCACAAAATGGTTTTCTCTCTCTTTCTCTCTCTGCACTTTGGGAGAGGCAGAAGGGGCAGGCGGTGAACAGGGACCCAAGCATTATGTCGGGGTCCCGCAGGGAGTGACAGCTCACAAGCCCCTTCCCCGCAGGCGAGCGGGCGGGGCAGCGAACCCCTCCCTGCCGGAGCCCCTCCACCCGAATGGAACGTGGGCGCCGGCTCCCGGGCTCCCGCTCCACTTGGAACACGAGCCTAGGCGCCGCTCGCAGACTGCGCGGTCCGCGGGGGCGGCTTCCTCGCACCTCCCCCTGCAGCGCGCCGCGGCGGCTGGGCGAGGCGAGGCTAGGCGAGGGGGAGGCGGGCCGAGGGGGCGGGCGAGGGACGCGGGACCGCGGGGAGGTCGGGGGCGGGGAGCAGGAGGCGGCGGGCCCCGGGAAGAAAAGAACATGGCTCCTGCAGCGCGCTGCGCCGAGCGCGGCGAGGGGCGAAGGCGCGCGGGGCGCCAGTGACCGCGATGGTGAACTCGAGCCGCGTGCAGCCGCAGCAGCCCGGGGCCCCGAAGCGGTCGCCCGCGTCCCGAGCGGCCGGCCCCGGCCGGCTGATGGCGGGCGGCGCGGCCGTGGGCGCCGGCCTCGGGGCTCCAGGCGGCCTCCGCGAGCAGAGGGGCCTGGAGATCGAGATGGAGCGTATCCGGCAGGCGGCCGCGCGGGACCCCCCGGCCGGAGCCTCAGCCTCCCCCTCTCCTCCGCTCTCCTCGTGCTCGCGGCAGGCTTGGAGCCGTGACAACCCAGGCTTCGAGGCCGAGGAGGAGGAGGAGGAAGAGGAGGTGGAAGGAGAGGAAGGAGGAATGGTGGTGGAGATGGACGTGGAGTGGCGCCCGGGCAGCCGGAGGTCGGCCGCCTCCTCCGCCGTGAGCTCCGTGGGCTCCCGGGGCCGGGGGCTGGGGGGTTACCACGGCCCTGGCCACCCGAGCGGGAGGCGGCGCCGGCGAGAGGACCAGGGCCCGCCGAGTCCCAGCCCGGCCGGCGGCGGGGACCCGCTGCATCGCCACCTCCCCCTGGACGGGCAGCCGCCCCGAGTGGCCTGGGCCGAGAGGCTGGTTCGTGGGCTGCGAGGTAAGAGCGCGCGACCCGCAGCGGCTGATGCACAAACCAGAGCTGCGGGCGCCGGCCGGAGCCATCGCCCGCTGTGGGCAGCTTTCCGGGGCTCCCCCTCGCATCCTTCCTGTGTCCCCGCCTCCCTTGGAAGCGCGTACCCCATTCTGCTAATTGTGCTCTACTTCCGGTACCCATGCGGAATTCCACTGCGCCCTTGTTTGTGCAAATTTATGGGATACCTCCTTCTTACAACGGAAGGAGATGGGTCAGCATATTTTTACCTCTGTATATAAGTGAAAGCCGTATTAGAATGAAAGGGTACCTCTGAAGATTTTTTTCTTGTAGGGGAAAAAAAGAAAAAATATTCTAATACAGCTGAAGGTGGTTGCACCTGTATATCGGGTCTTCCGTTGGTCTGGACGCCCTCTTACCCCTCGTTCCATTCTGGAAAGGGTAGCTAGTGTTATCCAAGTTGTGGGGCAAGTGTCATTGAGTTGTCACAGATGTTGTTTTGGTGATGTGTGTGGTGGTTTGGGGGAGAGCGAGCTGTTGAGAGCACCACAAATAGAATAAAATAATGTCTAGGAAGACAGTTATTTAGCCATTTCTAATCTAGGCGTTTTTCTAAAACAATTGCAAAGAAAAAGTTACATTGTTTAAAAAACTTGGTAGTATGGTTTTAAATAGCTAACTTAATGTTCTCTGAAATTCCAACAAAACAGTGAAGTCACCAGATACCAGCTTTGTGTACATGTATCAGAGTTCAGTGCACCCAACTTTCCAGAGGCAGGAAAGGAATTTTCAAATTTGCCAGTGCCTATTTAGAGGACCCAGATTTTCCAGGAGCAGAGAGGATCCTGTTTTGCGAGGTTTTGTCAGAGGCATCCTTGGAAAAGAGTTGCATTTGCTCTCACATTCAAATTATTTTAATCTCCACTTTTTAAAGAGTTTCCATTCTCCATTCTTTTGAAAGTTTCCCTTCCCTACTCTTCCCTGTCAGTTTTGCAAATCTTGTTCAAAAAATCCAGCTGTTTTTATAGCAATGTGATTAAGACCAAGTCAGCCCTACACCCAGATTCCAGTTCTACCACACAGTGGCAAATTGCTTTATCTCTCTGATCCCCAGTTTTTGCTTTTCTTAAAAAGAGATAATCATAATACTTTGTTCTTGAATGGGGAGAATTAAATGAGATGAAACATGTGAAATGCTTAGCATGTCTCTGACATGTTGTGAGTGCTTCATAAATATAAATTGATTCATAAATTTTCAATAGTGTGCACTTTTGTACTTCTTTTATGTAAGTGCTTATGCTGTTACTTTGATTCATGTCATGGTGGGGAACAAAAGACCCTTTTTGAACAACCTATGTGAGTAAGTTAGTAAAGCTTTTTAAGGTTCAAAACTGTATCCAAACAAATTATTTTACATTGTTTTAAGTGTGCTTTAAAAAATATTCACTGAAGTAAGAGAAGTTTTTTGCAAGTTAGTGAATAATAAATCATGATCCTTTAACCTTCTTTGAATAAACTCAATAATGGAATATAATGAAATGAAATATATATCCTTATATGAGTTTATATACAAGTGTAGTTCTTCAAAAATTTTTCCTCAAAAAAATTTACAATGTATAGGCTCATAGGGAACTTCTAGTCAAACCTTATCAATGGTCTAATTAGTAGGGCAAGAGACACAGGAAAATGTTAATCTTAGGAAATTTTAGAATAAATTTTATTTTATTAAATATATTAAAAATTAAACATACATATCACTTATTAAATAAGTGACGTTTGTTGAATAATTAGCACCTCCTATGAAATTAGTACTGAACTAGGTGCTCCCCCACCACTGCCACCAAAAAAAAAAGAGGTAAAATAGCACCATCACCATTTTCCTATGGATAGAAACCAAGAAAAGTAAAATAATCATGAATGAGTTGTGATTTTTTTCCCTCATGGGATACCAATGACAAAAATCTTAGATGCATTATGTAAGTAGTACCCTAGGATCAGAACAGAAAGTAACTTGCAATTTCTAAAGGTAGGAAAGATTACTCAAGCTTGGAGTGGTTAGGAGCTTCCCTGGAGGTCTCCTGCCTTCGTGATTTTGTACAACTCACTAAGATTCCCCGAGCCTCTGTTCCTCATTTATAAAACGGAGGAGTTGAACCTAATCTCCGGAGTCTTTTCTAGCTTCCACATACTCTGTGATGTTCTTTAATGACATGAATCCAAGATGGACAACAAATGGTCTTTTTTGCTTTTTGTACAGTAGATAGATCTATCTCCTTAGCAGGAGTAAGATAGTAAAGAAGAAATGTTTGAGGTTTGGTTGTGGGAAACATGTGTCCAACCAAGAAACTGAGAATTTATCCCTAAATATTAGGAAGCAGTTGCAAGTTGTTAACAGGACCAGAAACATGCCGAAAGGGAGTATCGGTAGGCAGTGTGCTGTGCAGAAAAGCTTGCGCAGGGAGGCAGAGAGGCGGAAGGACCATGTAGCCGGCAGCCAGTGAAGAAGTGGTGAAGGTCTGGACCAAAGTGAAGGATGGCCGAAAGATGTAAAGACTGCCCTCAAACTTAAAGATATCCCCAATAATCTTGTTTGCTTTTTTCTTAGCAAACTCTTTTTAGTGCAAAAATAAAATTTGACACTTTACATGAGTTATCAAATTTTCTGAATTTCCAGAATTGAATGTGTTCTATGGATGTATCAACGTGGTAAAGTCATCTCCTGTTATTTTAAACATCTGTGCTTGGGGTTTCGGGGTTTTGTTTTCCTGGAGAAATCCTAAAGTACTGGCTGTGTTGGTCAGGGTGGGCTGGGCTGCTCTAACAAATAGCTACCTTCTCTCCCATTCACTTGTATCATCACTGCCCATTTCCAGAAACTTTTCATCATTTCAAACAGAAACTACCCATTACCACGTTACCCTTCTCCTGGTATCTTCTATTCTACTTTCTGTCTCTGTGACTTTTTCTACTCTAGGTACATCATATTAGTGGAATCACAGTGTTTTGTCCTTTAGTGTCTGGCTTATTTCACTTAGCATAATTTTTCAAGGTTTATCCATGTTGTAGCATGTATCCAAATTTCATTCCCTTTGATAAATGGATAATATTCCATTGTATGTCTACAACACATTTTGGGTTTATCCATTCATCAGTTGACGAACACATGGGTTGTTTCCACCTTTTGGCTATTGTGACTTTCCCTTTGTTTTTAATCCAAACCTCACTCCATCACTTCTTCCTTTTCTTTTTTTATTTGCACTATAATTTTGAACAAACAAGATTTTGTATTTCCGTAGCTGTGGGGATTTTTTTGAGGGAGCATTGCTACTGTGAGGTATGTGGTTATGGTTATGCTAGTAACAGAATTTGTGCAGTCAGCAAACATTTGTGAGGGTCTCCTTTGTGGTGGATCCTAGAGATACAGAGATGAATAATACAAGGTCCCAACTCTCAAGGAGTTCAGCTTAGTAGGGGAAACAGGTGTAAGGAAATAATTGCAATGTGAGGTCTCAGGGATTGGAGGGACCCAAAGAAGAGAGGACCAGCTGTATGGGAGGAGGTCAGAGGAAGTGAAACTTGAGTTAACATTTTGAAGGATGAGGGGGGAATTTAAGGAGGGAAAAGTAGCAGAAGTAAGAACACGCAAGCCTATAGCTTATTGGTACTTTTTCCTCTAAAAAGTTAGAGCTCGTGGAGGCTTCAGGAAGGGGGCTGATACGGTCACATATCAATCAGAAGATGATTCTAGCAAGAATGTAGAGAATGGAGTGAGGCAGATAGTGCTGGTTGGTGGGAGAATAGGTCAGGAGAGGGCTAACCGAGAGACAGGGGTAACAATGGACTGCAACCAAGGCATGTGCGCTGGGATAGAAGGAAGCTGGACTGGAGACAGACAGAAGGCATCAGAATTGTGGACTAGCTCCATGTGAGGGTTAAGAAAAGGGCCTGTTCTAGGATGAAACCCATGTTTCTGGCTTGGTACCATTAACCCATACCGGGCAAGTAGGTTTCTAGACAAAGAAAGAAAAAATCTCAGTGTGGGGCATGCTAGTTATTAACTGTCCGTGGAATATGCATGTAGAACTGGCTGTTAGCTGTGGCACCTGCTTGTCTGTACCTCAGGAGAGGGCCGACTGAGAATTTAAGATTCAGGGGTCAATAACATAGAAGGGAGCAACTGAATATTCTATATTAAATGGGCCAATAGTAGTAAAAAGTCACTTCCCTTTTTAAAGTTGGGCCTGCAATTCAAATAAATATTTGGAAGGATTGTGTTTGTCTTCCTAAACAAGGCCCACATGTGTCTGAGCACAAAACCCCCGAATTCTTTCGTGATAGAAATGCAATGAGAATTTGGTTAGGCTATTCACAGTAAAATCGTAGTTCGTATGGATTTGGGTGTTTACACTGTTCTGAAATTTAGACCAACTAGAGGTCAGAAGTAGGACATTTTTCAGAGTTGCACCTGTTTCTGGAGCTATAGACAAGTCTCTTTCAAGTACTTTATGTGCTTTACATATAATATTTCTAATTCCCAGAGCAACCCCACCAAGAGGTACTTTTATCCCATTTTCAGCTGAGGAAATGGAGGCTCATGATGTTCGATAAGGTCCCACTGTTCATATGTGACTGAGCCCTCAATTGATCACAGCTGACTCCGAAATTCCACATTGCACCTTGTCATGATCAATGAGTCATGGGGATTTAGTGTACATCAGATGGGACAGGGTTGGTATGAGGCAAATAATCCACACACAGTCTTTTGACCATGGAACTGAAATATTCAGGATGAAATGATACGATAGCTGGAATTAGTTTCAAAATTGAGAAGGAGTGGGTGAGGGTTTAGATGAATCAAGGTTGTTGTTGAGTTGATAATTGTTGAAGCTGGGCAAGAGATACATAGGACTTCATTATATCATTCTCTCTGTGATGTTTTTTGTGTATTGCAAAATAGTTTTGGAAGTATTTGAATAAGATAGTTGCAAAAATGGCATTTTTCACAATTATTTATGTTTGAGACATCTTTTGTGTTTCAGGTTGTCCATCTCAGAGTCCCTCTATATTCATATTCATAAGTACCACTGCCTATGGGAATATACACTGTTTAGATGAAGTACTCCAACTTTGGGCTCTGGCATTGACCAAGCACCCTCTTAAATATGAGAGAAGCTGGATATTGTCTGGTGTCCCCCTCATATCATGTTCTCCCTAACAGCTGGAGACACTTTATGTATTCAGTGTGAGTGCCTGAAATGCTGGGCATATACTCCCTCCACGGTGAGGACAGTTGTGGGAAAAGACAACAGTTGATTTTGAAGAATGCTGCCATTTTGTAACCATTCTTATTCCATCAGCTCTGCTAAACATGGGAAGTAGTTAGCCATAGGACAGCAATTTTTTCTATTTGTGGACATAGCCATTTCTCACTCATCAGAATGTAAAGAGGTCCCCGTGTCCTAAGACAGATCCTACATACACACCCAGTGGGGAAATTGGATGAAATTTTGAAGGTGATAAATATTTGAGGAAGTAGATAATTTAGAAAGTCAATGAAATGCATAAAGTATATTATATAAAAATATAAATAAGGGAACTTTGTTTCTTTTTACTTGAAATGTTTCATTCGGGGGCTAGAATTAAATTGCCATAGACCATTGCACGTTTAGCTTGAATAAAATTTGATGGGAGTTTGGTTTTTCTATATATAGGTCAAGCAATACCATTTGTAAATATTAAGAACCATGACTACTCCTTAGTGCGTAATTGCTTATAAACCATGGGAAAGAGTGAAATCACTGACTAAGTGAGGCAAGACAACAATCTTTCCTGATGATAAAGAGACCAGTCATCTCCACTTATGTGTATATTTTAAGCCTGGTCTCCAAAAGAAATATAACCAAAGAAATAGTGTGATTGCGTCCAGGGCTACTGAGCCTAATACTTGGCTGCCTCTATGTTATTCTGATTGTAATTTTCCATGTCATCTAAATTTGTAATAATTTTTAAATATGATAGAGTTTCAGCGAACAAACATTCTGCTTGCCGCATTTCTTCTGCGTGAGTAATTCCCTGACAACTACCAGATCTTGGCAGAAGCAGACCCGGTCATAAGTCATGCTCCACTTTCCGTGTGCTGAAACCTATGATATGTAACACAGTGTCTTTGAATTCAGATGCTGATTTTCCTAAAGGAAATTTAGGAGAAAAAAAAGAAAAGGAAACGAAATACCCAAATTTAGGAGTAGTATTAATGTGTTATTATAAGACTTAAAAAATACATAAACACTGGTGATGGAGTCATTTCTGTGAAGTAAAAGCCTCGATGCCATTTTCCCCTGTCCTCTGTGTGGCTTGATGGTGGCTTAAGTGGCTGTGTGAGTTTCAGTGATTGATGGCGTTAAAGTCTGTGGAATAAACGTGTGAGGCAGACTGTCGGGGCCAGGTTGGCTGCCATTCACAGCCGACCTAATCTAACTGAAAGGATTGAGAAGTTTGTCCTTTTTGGCAAACATGAAGGCTCTTCCAAGTAGCCAGCAATGTGATTTTACCACACTGTTCATTAATGGGGGTTTTGGATGGCCACCATGTCTGTCTGCTGAGCGAGTCCAAAACTGTGGTCACTGCCTCCAGCAAGCTTGCAGAGGGTTATGTCATCCCTGCTCAGCCAGCCCAACGCTTTTTCCATCTGCTAAAATATGGAACATGGCTGCTGATTTTATTCTTTCTCCAAAGAGAGAAAGAAGTTGGATGATTGTTGCTTTTAACTTAAAGATGATATGTTAATTAGCATTTTTCAAATCTGTTAAGCTAAGCATGTTTAGAGTAGTCAGTCAGCATTGAGTTTCTTAAAGGAGAGAGAGGGTACAGAGTGGCGAGATTTTGTGCCACTGGATATTTCCATAGTGAGATGATGCTCCAACCAGGCTTTCTTTTCATCAGGAGTGATCCAAAAGGTGTCATGTGCCATAGAGTTACATCATGTCCTAACTAGGTTTAGTAAGAGGATAATTGCCAGGTTGTGTCCTCCCCCACACAGGAAAAGCAGATGTGTGTGTGCACAGTTATTTAATATGTTCTTCTGGGGTGCCCTCATTTCCTGTTCTCTTTATAAGTTTTTACTAAGACATTTTCTGATGGGATTGGGAGTTTAGACAATGATCAGATTGTCGCCTTGTGTTTTGTACATCTGGGGGGGACGGTAGAGGCTGATCTATTCTTACATAAAAGGCACTCCTGCTAAAACAATTTCTTAGTTATATTCAGAGCATGCTAAAAAAAAAAAAATACAGGAGAATCCCCCTTAAAGGTTATACTATTTATTTTATGTTTCTTCTTTGCCATTCATGAGATTTTTAAAAATAAAATGTCATACTTTTCATTATTATTTTAAAGGTCTCTGGGGAACAAGACTCATGGAAGAAAGCAACACTAACCGAGAGAAGTATCTTAAAAGTGTTTTACGGGAGCTGGCCACATACCTCCTTTTTCTCATAGTCTTGTGCATTTGTAAGTAGAACATTTCCTCCTACTAAAGGAAAAGTTTTGAAAATATTTGACCTGTCAAAACCATAATTGAAAGGAATTGTATATGCATCAGAGGGGTTCATTCAGAAGCTGTCTGTTTTCAATTTCAGTTTAGAATTTGGTAAAGCTTTCCTCTCTCCTCTGGTAAAAATTGATTAAAATTCAGCGTTATCTGATTGGCCAGTTCATTGTCAGCCATGACCATTTTCACTATGAGATGCATGTGGCAACCTGCCAGATATCAAGAAACGAAGTAAAAGGATTTTTTATTAGATTTCCTGATAAAGGGGCGCCTGGGTAGCTCAGTCGTTAAGCGTCTGCCTTCAACTAAGGTCATGATCCCGGGGTCCTAGGATTGAGCCCCACATTGGGCTCCCTGCTCGCAGGAAGCCTGCTTCTCCCTCTCCCACTCCCCCTGCTTGTGTTCGTCTCTCGCTGTGTCTCTCTCTGTCAAATAAATAAATAAAATCTTTAAGAAAAAAATGATTTCCTGATAAATACACTGTCACTATTTTTACATCAATTAATGTGAAGTTTAATGTAGGAATTATTTTCAGCAAAATGACATTCAAAGTTTAACGTTCAGGAAATACAAATAATGTCTCCTAATACTGCTTCTATGGATATATATATATAAAAGTCCCATTCTTTTGGATCTGGTTGTGTTTCCTGTGTGGGTTCCTTCATTCTAATTCATAATGTCTTCCACATCTTCAGTAATCACCAGCCTTGTACTCTACAGGAAACTTATGGCAGACTCATCTCTTTCTTCTTCCTCTCTTCTTTCAGTATGTATATGCATCCCCTGGGAGGGGAGGGGACTCAAGCCTTATCCAGGACAAGTCTTAGAAACCATTTGCTTTGAAGTCCAGAAAGTCTTAGACAATGGATTGATGTTCTGATTCAAAGGGTATTGGATGATGGGAGTTCTGTCCTGTTCTCTCTAAAGGTCGTTATGAGAACAGACAAGGAAGCAGCTTTATGACAACCAGGACCTCTTACCATACTCCTGGGAAAGGACTTCCTTCATATAGTGTACACTTAGAAAGGCTTAAAAAATTAACACCAATCTTAAAAAGAGTCCCCTTCTTTGTTTATGGAGAGAATCAAAATTTATCAATGATTTAATAAGGCCATTCTTATTACATTAAAATTGACCACCTTGAATTTAATTGACTAGGCAAAAAGCTTCCTTAAAAACATTTTTAAAATTTATTAGATTTATTAAAAAAATTTTTTTAAACTTGTAAGTTGAACATAAAGGATTGAGGAAACACTTAAGTTTCAATACTTATAATTTTAAGAAATTGAATATTGATTTGTTTACTATCCCCACACAGTTTTTTATTAATACTAGTAAGTTCTTAATGAGCTTTTTTTTTTTTAAAGATTTATTTATTTATTTGAGAGAGCAAGAATGAAAGAGAGTACATGAGAGGGGGGAGGGTCAGAAGGAGAAGCAGGCTCCTTGCTGAGCAGGGAGCCCGATGCGGGACTCAATCCCGGGACTCCAGGATCATGACCTGAGCCGAAGACAGTTGCTTAACCAACTGAGCCACCCAGGTGCCCCTTAGTGAGCTTTAACAGGGAATGACGACTTTTTGCATTTTCTGAGACTTTGCCAATCCACGTGGGAACTTGAGAAAAAAAGAAGGTGTTTAAGCTAGAATGTATGTATGTGTGAATAATATCTGTTTTCTTGATTTTTTTCTGTTATTTGTTTAGGAGGGAATGTCATTACTTTTTACAACATTCTTTTTTTTTTTTTTTTTAAAGATTTTATTTATTTATTTGACAGAGAGAGACACAGCGAGAGAGGGAACACAAGCAGGGGGAGTGGGAGAGGGAGAAGCAGGCTCCCCTCAGAGCAGGGAGCCCGATGCGGGACTCGATCCCAGGACCCTGGGATCATGACCTGAGCTGAAGGCAGTCGCTTAACCAACTGAGCCACCCAGGCGCCCTACTTTTTACAACATTCTATCTAAGATAGAAATGCTGAAAAAGTAGAAAAGATCTATTCATTATATTAAAAGTTGTAAAGCCAGAGATGTGATATTTTTAATTTTTATGTTCTAAGCTGTTAGAGCTTATAATACTGAAGTAGAGTTTGCTCCCTGCATAGGCGCTTAAATATTAAACTACACTGGCCTTAAATATTAACAGATTGATTAGAATCATTATTAAGATTTTTTCAAGCATGACACAGACACATACATACGTATATATTTTTATGCAAAATATAAGTACCCCTATAAGCACGTTTAGGTTTTCAGTGGCCCCCCCCAAATTGCTTGAGCATCAGAATCACCAAGAGAATTTTTTAAAAATTACAGTTTGCTCAGATCTGCTAAATCTGAGCCTTCCAGAGGTGGCCCAGGGAAGTGAGTGTTCCGATGCACTGACAAGTTTGGGAACTAGGCCAGATAAATAAACTGAATAGCTAGAGTTCTAGGAAACATGCCTTACTTAAGTCATGTAGTTAGTGTTTTCTTGTTTATTTTGGAGTTTAATGCTTTTTGTTCTTTTTCACACTAATCACTTTTTTCTTGTATCAGTAGCTGCATATTTTACATAGGCCAAGTTTTATTTTCAGAGTACTGTGGAATCTCTGGCTAGGAAGGGATCTTAGCAACCATATGATCAAACCTCCACTGAATGCTAAAATTCCCCCTGCAGCATCCCTCTCAAATGGTCAGTCCTCTTGTGTCTGATTGAGCAAGAGTTCCATGTTAAAGGACTTACTTCTTCGAAATAGTTCATTTTGTTTCTCTATGGCTATGTTAGAAAGTTCTCCCTTATATGAAGCCAAGTCTAACCTGTCAAATTTCCTCTCCTAGCTCTCCCCTCCAAGCCACCTGCACCAAGTACCTTTTCCATGTTCTTCTCCAGTTTAGCCCATCAGAAGTTTGGAGACAGACATTCAGTCTCCCTTAAGTCTTCTCTAGGTTAAACCTTTCTGGTTCCTTTAACTGTTGATCATGTAATTGGAGACATGCGTTTGAGTACCCGTGTGATAGAAACTCCCTCCAGCACACGTTCTGTTCATCAGGTCCCTTTGAAGGCACAGTAGGAGCCTCATAATGAAAGAGGGGGAAAGGGGGGCCATAGGTGTCCTCAGTCAGATACACAGCTGTGGTTCATGCCTCCTCCCATCACCTGATTCTTCACATGAATGATTCCTCAGTCTCTTCACCAGAAACTATAAAGCACTGTGTCCCCCAACTAGTATATGAACACTTTTTCCTGGAACATAGTAGCGGACTTCCCTTTCAGCTGTGTTAAATTTCATCTCATTCAGTCCATCTGTTGAAATTTTTTTGGATCTGGATTCATTCATCTTATGTATCAGTTGTTCCTCTTGGCTTCACTGGATCAACAGAGTTGATATCATCCATGTCCTTATCCTGATTAATTAATAAATCAAAAAAGATTGGTCTAACAACATCATCCATTAGTCAAAGTTCTGAGTTCACTGAATTATATTATCACCTAGCTCAAAATGTTCAAGAAATAGGATAATAAGGATAATAGAATAATAAGGATAATAAATAGGAAATAACAACTGGGTGGCTCCGTCATTAAGCGTCTGCCTTCGGCTCAGGTCATGATCCCGGGGTCCTGGGATGGAGCCCCGCGTCGGGCTTCCTGCTCTGCGGGAAGCCTGCTTCTCCCTCTCCCACTCCCCCTGCTTGTGTTCCCTCTCTCGCTGTCTCTCTCTCTGTCAAATGAATAAATAAAATCTTAAAAAAAAAAAAGAAAGAAATAGGATAATAAGAAAGACTTTTTCAAATGCCTGTCAGAATAACTCCACCATTCCTCTGCTATTAGCTGTTGACCAAATTAAAAATGAACATTATGAGGATAAGCGGACATGATTTACTCCTAACAAAGCCTTCCTGGCTCCTAGTGACTGAGCCCTTTCCCATTGCTCAAAAACCATCTTTTTAACTATTAGTTTTAAAATCTTGCCAGCAATATCAATATCAAATGACCAATAATATAAAGTGTATTACTCTGTGGGTAAATGAGATAATGTACTTAACCGTATGCCTTGCGTATTGGAAGCTCTTGATATGAAGTAGATAGGGTTCTGGAAGGCAGTTGGCATAGTAGGAAAAGTATAGATTTTTTTTTGCATCAACAGAGATCTGGGTTCAAATCCCAGCTCCACTACTTATATACTAGGTAAGCTTGAACAAGTTATTTAACCTTTCTGAACCCTTGTTTTCTCATCTGTGAAATACTTATTTTGAAAGATTTTGTGGAATGCCTGAGTGGCTCAGTCAGTTACGGGTCTGCCTTCAGCTCAGGTCATGATCTCAGGGTCCTGGGATCGAGCCCTGAGTTGTCCGGCTCCCTGCTCAGCGTGGAGTCTGCATCTCCCTCTCCCTTTGCCTCTGCTCCTCCCCCTGCCCATGCTCTCACTCATTCTCTCTCTCTCAAATAAATAAATAAAATCTTAAAAAAAAAGAAAAGAAATATTTTCTGAACTTTGGGATTGATATACCAAAAAATCCTAGGATACTGTCTGTCACGTGAAGAATAGTAAGAGCAAAATTCTTCCCAGAAATAGTTGACAATGGCTGAATTGTTTCATTAGTAGGTTCTAAAAACTATAGGTTCGAATTGTTTGGACATTCATTTGAAGCAACTAAGTGCCCATCAAGACCCATTTTCTATCTTACCAGTGTTACTTCTAAGACCTGTGTCTTTAAAATTAGTCTACTTAACCCAGAGGAGAGAAATGACATGGGAACTAGGTAATCCCACTTTCTCTATAATTTAGAATTTATTCTTACTTGAAACCTAAGGTTGCTATGAATCCACCATCAAAGTACGTGCTTATATATGGGTTACTGTTATAAAGAGCCACGGAATTTCTTTGTGTGACTTAGATGCTGAACTTAAAGAAGGGGATTAATGGTATTGTTAAAGATCTTTGGAAAAACCAAATGAAGTCTTTGGTGAATCTATGATAAAAG